CGTCCATCTTACATCAAGTTATAACTCCCGAATCGCAACCCTCCCCCCCCCGCTCCCCGTGATAGGCCCCAGTGTGTGATGTTCCCCATTCCCGGCAGTCCAAACGTGAGAGTGAAAACATTCTCTCGAACTAAAGTCTCCAGGTTCCGCACCTATGAGTGAGACATGCGAACCTGATTTCTGAACTCCTCTTTCTGCCATTTACTAATTGTGCTTACCCTTCAACTTAGGACATATCCTCCCTGGAGCCTCAGTTTCCTCACCTGCACATTGGGGATAATTAGTAGTCTGACCTTAAATTGTTTAAATGTATAAAATGAAAATGTGAAGCATGTTAAATGCTTGTCAGTTAGAGGCAGTCATTAATCTAAAGCTCCCAAAGTGAATCTCACCCTTTTGTACCTCCAATAACTCAGAGTATTTGGTAATATGAATGTCTTCTTTTGAGAAATGTCTGTTCATATCCTTTGCCCACTTTTCGATGGGGTTGTTTGTTTTTTTCTTGTAAATTTGTTTGAGTTATTTGTAGGTTCTGGATATTAGCCCTTTGTCAGAGGAGTAGATTGCAAAAATTTTCTCCCATTCTGTAGGTTGCCTGTTCACTCTGATGTTAGTTTCTTTTGCTGTGCAGAAGCTCTTTAGTTTAATGAGATCCCATTTGTCAATTTTGGCTTTTGTTGCCGTTGCTTTTGGTGTTTTAGACATGAAGTTTTTGCCCATGCCTATGTCCTGAATGGTATTACCTAGGTTTTCTTCTAGGGTTTTTATGGTATTAGGTCTCAGAAGAACCTCAAATAAAGTAGCTTAAAATAATAATAGATGAGTATGATTATCCACGTGCCAAACAATGAAGTTAGCTCCCTTTCTTACACCATGCACAAATGGATTATAGACCTAAATGTAAGAGCCAAGTTATATAAAACTTAAAAGAAAACATACCAATAAATCTTCATGACTTTCGATTAGGCAGGAGCCTCTTAGATATGACACAGAAAGTTCAAGATAGATAAATTGAACCTCATCAAAATTTGACACCGTTGACCTGGTATAGTGGCTCATGCCTGTAATCTCAGCACTTTGGGAGGCCAAGGCAGGAGACTCACTTGAGGCCAGGAGTTTGAGACCAGCATGAGCAACATAGTGAGACTCCATCTCTCCAAAAAAAAAAAAAAAAAAAAGAAAGAAAAAAATTTTATCCAGGCATGGTAGTATGTCTTACCACTAGCTACTCTGGAGGCTGAGGTGGGAAGATGACTTGAGCTCAGGAATATGAATACAAGGTTATAGTGAACTGTGATCATGCCACTTCACTCCAGCCTGGGCAACAGAGTGGGAACCTATCTCTTAAAAAAAAATTAAAAACTTTGTTTGCAAAATATGCCATCAAGAAAGTAGAAAGACATGGCCGGTCACAGTGGCTCAAGCCTCTAATCCCACCACTTTGGGAGGCTGAGGTGGGCAGATCACTTGAGGTCAGGTGAGGTCAGGAGTTCAAGACCAGCCTGGCTAACATGATGAAACCCTGTCTCTACTAAAAAAATACAAAAATTAGCTGGGCATGGTGGTGCATGCCATGTAACTCCAGGTACTTGGGAGGCTGAGGCAGAAGAATTGGTTGCAGTGAGCTGAGATTGTGTCACTGCACTCCAACCTGGGCAACACAGTGAGACTCTGTCTCCCAAAAAAAAAAAAAAGAAAAGAAAGTGGAAAAACAGCCTACAAAATGGGAGAAAATATTCACATGTCATATGTCTGTTGGCTGGTATCCTGAATATTAAAACAAACAAAAAACCAAAACTCTTACAATTCAATAAAAAAGGCAACAGTTTTTCAATGTGCAAATAATTGAGTAGGCTTTTTGTCCAGAGAGGATATACAATGGCCAACAAGTACATGTAAAGATGCTCAGCATCGTTAGCCATTAGGAAATTGCAGATCAAAACCACTGTGAGACACCACTTCACATCCACTAGAAGGGCTATAACTAAAAAGACAGACAATAATGAGTGTTGGCAAGGCTGTAGAGAACATACATTGCTGGTGAGGATGCAAAATATAGCTGCTTTGGAAGAGTTTGGCCTTGCCTCACATTTTAAACATGGGACCCATCAGTTTCACTGCTAGGCATATACCCAAATGAAACAAATGTCCACACAGAAACTAGTACAGCAGTGTTCAAGGCATCATTATTCATAATGGCCCCAAAGTGGACATAACCCAAGTTACATCAGCAAATAAATGAATAAACAATATGTGATATATCTGTAAATGGAATATTAATTAGCCACATAAAGGAATGAAGTACTGATACATGCTGTAATATGGATAAACCTTAGAAAACGTGCTGATTGAAAGAAGCCAGACACAAAAGACCACATAGTGTATGATTTTATTTATATGAAATGTCCAGGATAGACAAATTCATAGAGACAGAAAGTAGATTATTGATTTTCAGGGGCTGGAGAGAAGGGGAAACGGGAGTGATGGCTAATGGAGATGGGGTTTCTTTTTGGAAAGATGGAAGTGCTCTAAGACTAGATTGTGGTGATAGGTGTACCACTCTGGCTATACTAAAATGCATTGTCTACTGTAAATGGGTAAATTGTGTCATGTGGGTTATTTCTCAATAAAGCTGTTTTTAAAAGTAGATAATGAAGTTAATATGTTATCCAATGATATGAGACAGGCTTCAAAAATAATCATAACAGATTTCTGTAGAGGTAACTTAGTTGTAACTTTAAAAAAACATGCTTATTACCTAAAATAAATACAGTTTTCTTTTTTCATAATAGGTAAAAATTCTGAATATCATGTTGCTTCATTTTAAGCTAATTTGAATAAAATTTAATACTGATTGTGTATTTATCAGTATGGGTTACAGTAAAAGTCGAAACATATGTTTTTTTCTTTACCTATCAGTCTCATTGTCTTTCTGTTTTTTTGAGGTGAATAGAGACAGTTGTAGTGTTATGGAAAGATTTTTGGACTTAGCAATTGCTCAAGCAGGACAAACTTAGTTGTTCTGTCTGTGGTCTTAGATAAATAATTTAATTTTTAGAGGATCAATTTCAAAACCTGTAAAATGAGGCTCATGCTGAGTTTGAAAAGTTTTGTCCTCCCTCCCTCCCTTCCTGCCTTCCTTCCTTCCTAGTGTTTATTAGAAATATGGGAAATTTTCCCATAGAAAATTTTCCTGGGAAAATATAAAGGATATTCAGATTCTATCCTCGTTTCGATGTGTTTGTCCATACTGGTGTTTTATCTTAAATTTTTTAAGTCTTTTGCAAACAACAGTGGTGTTCAGATGTGTCCAAAGCCTAGTACTACATCTGAGAAAATAGATTCTCAGTTTATATTATTTGAATAAATCGGAATTTAGTGATGTTATTGGTGACCTTTGAAGTATTAGGTGATGGATTTCATTGAAATATTAACTGAAAAACTTATTTTAACTTTCTTTATGTATTTATCAGTTTAAAGACTGCATCATTGGCCAGGGGCAATGGCTTACGCCTGTAATCCCAGCACTTTGATCTTGAGGTCAGGAGTTCAAGATCAGCCTGGCCAACATGGTAAAACCCCGTCTCTACTAAAAATACAAAAATTAGCCAGGCATGGTGGTGTGGGCCTATAATCCTAGCTACTTGGGAGACTGAGGCAAGAGAATCGCTTAAACCTGGGAGGTAGAGGTTGCAGTGAGCCGAGATCGCACCATTGCACTCCAGCCTGCTTGGGTGACAGAGCGAGACTCTGTCTCAAAACAACAACAACAAAAAAACAACCAAAAAATGTGTCATTAATTATGTGTTAACAGTCAAGTTGACTTTTAAGAGAATCTGCAATTATGGTAGATTCTTGACTGTTTTTTGTTATTATTGTTGTTGTTTTTGTTGGTTTTCTTTTGGAGACCGGGTCTCACTCTGTCGCCCGGGCTGGAGTGCAGTGATGTAATCTTGGCTCACTGCAACCTCTGCCTCCTGGGTTCAAGGGGTTCTCCCACCTCAGCCTCCTCAGTAGCTGGGATTACAGGTGTGTCCCACCACACCAGGCTAATTTTTGTATTTCTAGTAAAGACAAGGTTTCACCGTGTTGGCCAGGTGTTGTCTTGAACTCCTGACCTCAAGTGATCCGCCCACCTCCGCCTCCCAAAGTGCTGGGATTACAGGGTGATCCACCACACCTGGCCAACTTGACTGTTACTAACATGTAAAGTTGTTTAGTGGCTGATATGTGTCAAATACATTTTTATGTTGCAATTAAGTGATGATATGCGATAAGATTCAATTTTCTTTGTTTAGCTTGATAGCTACATGATCTTAATGTGTAAGCTTTTTCTTATTTTGCAGAGATCCTGCATATTTTGATGAAAATTGGCTAAACAGAATCAAAACTGAAGTAGGAGATAATTGGAGGCTAAAGGTATTTTATTTTTCCATCTGTTAAATCTTTAAATATTTGTATGTGTATAATATCTGTTGATTTTTTTGGTCTAATGTATCCAGTGAGCTTTAGAAACTTAGGTAGTCTGCAATGAAATAATGTAGAATTGAAGATTGAACTCACCTGGAGTTGTGCACCTATGCATAACATAATATGAGTTAGTAACGCATAGCGACCAAGGGCATGGAGCCAGTGTGCCTGTGTCCACATCATAGCTCTGCCATTTACTGTCTAGGGGGAAGTGTTGTGACCTTCCTTTGCCTTGGTTTCCCCATTTGTAAAATGAGGATTAATATAGCTTCTGCCTCACAGAAATGAGTTATTATGCCAAGTACTTAGAACAGTACATGTGGTAGTTATAATAAGATAATATTGTTCATTATTAACTGTATCCTAAACACTCAGAGAATGAAACATTTCCATTTCCTTCCTAGTAACCTTTAAGTATTTTACAAGCTTCTTTAGCCAAAACTTACAATAAGAAAAAAAGTTTACATTGCAACCAATTTCCCACCTAAATGTGTGCATATATATAGCTGAACAGGTTTTTGCCCTTATGTTAGGCAGTGATGTTTGCATTTTATTTTTTAAAATGTTTGTTGTAATCCACTAAATTATTTTTTTAACTTTATATTTTGGTTTTTGTTTTTGAAATGGAGTCTTCTCTGTCCCCCAGGCAGGAGGGCAGTGGTGCAATCTCAGCTCACTGCAACCTTTGCCTCCCTGGTTCAAGTGATTCTCCTGCCTCGGCCTCCCAAGCAGCTGGGATTACAGGCATCCGCCACCACACCCAGCTAATTTTTGCGTTTTTGTAGAGATGGGGTTTAATCCTGTTGACCAGGCTGGTATCAAACTCCTGATCTCAGGTGATCCGCCCGCCTTGGCCTCCCAAAGTGCTGGAATTACAAGCATCAGCCACCACACCTGGCCTATATTTTGAAATAATTATAGATTCACAAGGAGTTGCAAAAAACGTGTACTAAGAGGTTATGTGTACCTTTTACCCAGTTTCTCCAGTGGTAACATCTTGCATAACTATAATACAATATCAAAACTAGGGAACTGGCATTGGTACAGTCCATATTTTATTCAGATTTCACCAAGGTTACTTGCAGTCTGTGTTAGTGCGTGCAGTTCTGTGTAGCTCTGTCTCATATGTAGCTTCTTATAACTACCACCACAGTGAAGACCCAGAACTATTCCGTCACCACACAGCTTCCTGTGCTGCTTCTATAACCACATCCACACCACCCCTAATCCCATGCAACCCGTAATTTGTTCTCCGTCTTTGTGATTTTCTTAACATTAAATTGATTGTTATGACCCAATAGTTTTCCTGTCTTAACAGTGGAGAAACCTGCAACCATTTCTTCTTGATACAGACTGGTGAAGACTCAGACATACAAATGATTTAAGCATGCAAGGCGCCTGAACTTAAGACATGTTCAGCTTGAGTTATCTTTATATTTTTCCCAAGAAACATGTTTGATAACACAAATATTTATTTATTGCTTAAGTATTGGGTTTGCCAAAATCTAGTTCCTTCTTTTTACTAAGCTAGTAAATGAAAACTGTTTAATGGCACTGGGGTTTTTTGTTTGTTTTTTTAGTCTTTTTTTTTTTTTTTTTTGAGGCAGAGTCTCACCTTGTCACCCAGACTGTAGTGCAGTGGTGCAATCTCGGCTCATTGCAACCTCCGCCTCTCGAGTTCAAAAGATTCTCTTGCCTCAGTCTCCCGAGTAGCTGGGACTACAGGCGCACGCCATGATACCCGGCTAATTTTTGTATTTTTTAGTAGAGACAGGGTTTTGCCATGTTGGCTAGGCTGGTCTTGAACTCCTAAGCTCAGGTGATTTGCCTGCCTTGGCCTCCCAGAGTGCTGGGATTACAGGCGTGAGTCACTGCGCCTGACCGGCCCTGTTTTAATTTCTAAACAATCTTTCAAGGGCAGGCAGTTTGTTTATTTTTATTTACTTTTTTTGAGACAAGATCTCACTCTGTCACCCAGGATGGAGTATAGTGGCACAGTCTCAGCTCACTGCAACTTCCACCGCCTGAGCTCAACCACAGGTGCATGCCAACACACCAGGCTAACGTTTTAAATTTTTGTGGGGATGAGGTCTTGCTATATTGCTCAGTCCGGTCTCGAACTCCTAGGCTCAAGCCATCCTCCTGCTTCAACCTGGCAGGCCAGGCGCGGTGGCTAACACCTGTAATCCCAGCACTTTGGGAGGTCAAGGCAGGTGGATCACTTGCGGTCTGGAGTTCAAGACCAGCCTGGCCAAGATGGTGAATCCTTGTTGCTAGTAAAAATATAAAAATTAGGCCAGGCACGGTAGCTCACACCTGTAATCCCAGCATTTTGGGAAGGCGAGATGGGCAGATCACAGGTCAGGAGATGGAGACCATCCTGGCCAACATGGTGAAACCCCATTTGTACTAAAAATACAAAATTAACTGGGCATGGTATTGCGCACCTATAGTCGCACCTACTCAGGAGGCTGAGGCAGGAGAATCACTTGAACCTTGGAGGCAGAGGTTGCAGTGAGCCGAGATGGCGCCACTGTACTCCGGCCTGGTGACAGAGCAAGACTCGGTCTCAAAAAAAAAAAAAATTAGGTTTTTTGGCGGGTGCCTGTAATTCCAGCTACCCTAGAGGCTGAGGCATGAGAATTGCTTGAACCCAGGAGGCGGAGGTTGCAGTGAACCAAGATTGCGCCACTGCACTCCAGCCTGGGTGACAGAGCAAGACTCAGTCTCAAAAAAAAAAAAATTTTTTTTAATGTTACAGCATGTTTAAAACAATTTATGATGTTTAAAATAATGCTACTAATCATTTTGTGTCTGCTTACTGGCTTGATCAGGAGTTGTATATCTCCTCCCAGCAGGCACACAGATAGATATACATACCCACATATGCTGTCCCCAGTGTCATGAGTAGGGCAGTGGTAGTATATGGAGACGGGTAGAAAAGTTTATCATAGTCTTAACACTCAGGACTGAACTTCTTATTCTCTATACTTTATTTTATGCTATACTTCAATTTTATGATGCCATTGATTAAAGACAAGATATATGACCGGGCACGGTGGCTCACGCCTGTAATCCCAACACTTTGGGTGGCCAAGGTGGGTGAATCACCTGAGGTCAGAAGTTCGAGACCAGCCTGGCCAACATGGTGAAACCCCATCTCTACTAAAAATACAAAAATTAGCCAGGTGTGGTGGCAGGTGCCTGTAATCCCAGCTACTCAAAAAGCTGAGGCACAAGAATTGCTTGAATCTGGGAGGCAGAGGTTGCAGTGAGCCGAGATCGCGCCATTGCACTCTAGCCTGCCTGGGCAACAGAGGGAGACTCTGTGTCAAAAAATAAATAAATAAAGATAAGATACAGCTTTTTGTGATGTGATTTAAAAAACTACCATTTTAAATGAATGGCAGTTGATTTTCAAGGCATTTTAATTTCAAACATTAAAAATATGGGAAAATGAACATCCTAGAATGAAAGAGATAAAGCATATTATGCGTTTTCCATATCTACAAATTTTTATAGACATTTAAGCATGTTAATTTTATGAGACCTGTAAAAATAAATAAGCAAGTTTTCAATTTATTTTCTTCCTTTCAAATAAATATGCCTTTAATTAAGTACTGGATCACGTTGCTGTGATTCATGTTCTTATTTGAAAGCCTCAGTCCCTACAAGCTTGTTTTCTAGGATGTCTCAACTACAGACACCAGCCAGGGAAAGCTAGATCAATAAAATAAAATCAATAGAGCTATATCACATACCCATTTAACCTAACACAAAACTGTATGAGTTGGGTCAAACAAAAAGAAAAAATTATAGTTTACAATAAATAGGGCAGGTGATTCTGCCCATTCTTCACCTAACATGGCTCATAAACATTTAGTTTGATGATCAACTGAAGAAACAGTAGTTTGTTTGTTTGTTTTTTCTGGTAGGGGAAGAATTTAAAGACATTATACTTTATGGGTTATTTTAAAGAGATTTTACTATAATTTTTGCTTAATACTCTCTTTAGAAGTTAATTTCTATGTAGATGCAGTTTGACTTTTCTGGGGAGAATAGCTCTGAACTCAAGTCTTCATTAAGGATGGCATATTTTTACTTTACCCACAGAAAACCTAAATAATTTAATCTGATTGTTAAGTCTCATTCAGTTACCCTCCAGTTGTTGTCAGTGTGGTCATAACATTGAAAATTCTACATAATTGGAAACATAATTTGTTTTATAAATCTCTTGGATTATATAAAGCCATAATAGTACTTTTTGATGATGATGATAATAATTCAAATATGCCTTTGAATTTTATTTTTTAATATTTACTTTATGATTAACTGCAGTGATTGGTTGCCTCAGAAATTTTTTGTGTTAAATTATGTTTTCATCTGTCATGCCTTTTACCCAGTTGTTTTCTCTCTCTTTAAACAGATAAGCAATTTAAAGAAAATTTTAAAAGGAATCTTGGATTATAATCATGAGGTAAAGACTTTTTTCTCATTCTGCTTAGAAGTATTACTATAGGATAGTTTAATTTATAATAGTTTCAAGTTAAGGAAAAATTGCTTTCAAAATTAATCATCAGTTTGTCCTTCATTTTATAGTTTCTATAATAGGATGATGGTTCAACCAACCATCTGTGAGTCAGTTAATAGATGGATGATCCTTTTCACTGTATTATGGGTAGTTTGTAAATGATTACTAATTAATGTCAAATTTTACTTTATGTCATCTATTAATTCTGTCTTTTCTTCCTTGTGAAGATAGTTTTAGAGTTCATGCACCATTGTCTACTTTCATTTTATTCCTTGGCAAACCGCCCATGCCTAGATGAACTCTGTTTGTCCTCTGAGTCTGCATCAGAACAGTCATTGCTGGGGAAGAAATCAGGCAGTGGAAAATAACTAGTTTTACTTTTAATTTCACAATCAAAGATGCCAAATGGACACAATACCATACCCTAGTTATTTCCCTACTGTGTTTTCCCTCAAGCTTACCTGCATTTAGTACCCGTTTATACCCGTAGCACTGATCTTCCCCATCTCAGTAAGTGACGCTACCATTCACCATATTACTGAACCCCAGAACCTAGAAATCCTCCTACAATCCTTCTTTCTTCTAATATCATCTGCAAGACCCTTTAGTCAAACCTTCAAAATAGAGCTTTCTTCAGCTGTGTGGCCACCAACTATGCCAAGCCATCATTCACTCTTGCTTAGGTTACTAAAGTAGTCTTGCTGGTGACCTGATTTCACTGTTGTGTAATTTTTAAAAATTCAAAGGTGACCTCATCAGTCTCCTTAAAGTCCTCTGTGGTTTCCCCTTGCATTGAGAATCACATCCACATTCTTACCATGAACGACTTCCTAACGACTTTTCCCGCACCTAAGGCACTGGAGCCACATCCTCTCCTTCTGTGCCTGGAATCTGCCAAGTCCTTTTCTTCCTTAGCCTTTGCCCCACTGCTGTTGCCATGTGCAGTGTTCTTCCCTCAGCTCCTGGCATTTCTTGCTCTTGCTTATTTGAACTTTCTGTCACTTCCTTACAGAGAATTTCCCTGAGCATATGCTGTCTCAGCCATGGCCACATTCACCCCTCAGTCCCATTTACTTAGGCACATCACCCTGTTTATTCCCTTTAATCCTGGCCATATCAGCAGTCTCTTTATTTGTTGGTTTATTATTTGGTTGTCTCATCCCATTATACTCTTCTCTTCTTTTTTTTTTTTTTTTTTTTGAGACAGAGTCTTGCTCTGTCACCCAGGCTGGAGTGCAGTGGTGCCATCTTGGCTCACTGCAAGCTCCGCCTCCCAGGTTCATGCCATTCACCTGCCTCATCCTCCCAAGTAGCTGGGACTACAGGCGCCCACCACCACGCCAGGCTAATTTTTTTGTATTTTTAGTAGAGACAGGGTTTCACCGTGTTAGCCAGGATGGTCTCGATTCCTGACCTCATGATCCGCCCGCCTTGGCCTTTCAGAGTGCTGGGATTACAGGCATGAGCCACCGCACCCGGCCTTCTCTTCTCTTTTTTTGACAGAATCTTGCTGTGTCGCCCAGGCTAGAGTGCAATAGCGCAATCTTGGTTCACTGCAACCTCTGCTTCCTGGGTTCAAGCGATTCTCCTGCCTCAGCTTCCCAAGAAGCTGGGACTACAGGCATGCACCACCATGCCCAGCTAATTTTTGTATTTTTGGTAGAGACAGGGTTTCACCATATTGACCAGGCTGGTCTCAAACTCCTGACCTTGTGATTCACCAACCTTGGACTCCAAAAGTGCTGGGATTACAGGCATGAGCCACTATGCCTGGCCACCCCATTATGTTCTTAGAGCCATGAAATGAGGCCGGATCCAGACCTGATGTAGTCATTGGTACATCTCAGCCCTCAGGACAGTGCTATCACACTGCAGGCACTCAGAGTTTCCTAATCACGTCAAATAAATGTTAATTTCCAACAAAAACATATTTAAGATACATGTAAGTGTGAACATAGGGTTGGTATTAGACATGTTGACAAAAAGTGTTTGTTTTTTTTTTCCTTCATCCAGAAGTGCTTACATTTACTAGATCTTTTGGGCTTAGGAGAAGTGATCGGTTTTGTTCTGAGCATCATGCCTATTATATATTAAAAAAAGTAGTTTTATAAAAAGTATTACAATAAAAAAGAATAGAAAATGTATGGCATTGAAGATAGTGATGCTGTTTCAGGAGTGTCATCCTGAGCCAACTCTTTCGCTCAGTGGAAGCCACCCAGAGGAAGTCCGAGCCATTATCCTCGCCTCATACATAAGAAACCGAGGCACATGTGTACCTCTTTCTCTTCCCCTCTTGTAATTTTCCTTTCTTTCCTCCCCCTCACCCAGCCCCCTGACATTTTTGGGTCCTAGGCCTGCTGGTGTTACCTGTAGCTCCACATAGCATCCCCTAGCCTGAGCATGCCTGAGAGGAAGAAGAAATCCACTCTCTGAAAATCGTGTGGTGTCTTTGGAACTTATGCCCTTTTAGAAACCTAATTATATTCATTACTACATGATTAGGAAAAAGAGTTGGAGCATGAGTAAAACTAAAATTAGTATGTGTAGTTGCAGTTTGCTTAATTTGAGCCTACACTGCCATTTAGTGAGCCCGTACCTATATGATTCAGTATCAGTTTCCCCATTTATTCTCATAGCCCAAGGTTCTTTTCCTTCTTACTGCTTACTGTGATTTGAATTATATATTTATTTGTGCATTTACTAATTCATTTTGTGTGTTCTACTTCATAAACTAGATGAAGGTACTTGCCTGTAAATTTAAACGTTTTGCAGATGCATACGTCTTTGACATCATAGTTCTATTTCTAGAAATTGGTCTTCAAGATCTACATTAGGCTATCCACCTCACCATTATTTCATAGTAGGCAAAAACTGAATATAACCCAATGTCTAACAATAAGAAAATTATGAAACATTTTGTAGGACAAATGCCATTCAGCCATGAAAATACGTATATATAAATATTCTTTAATAAGATAAAAGTGTGAGATTGTATATGCCATATGATACCAGTTTTATGTGAATATACATAAATGTGTTTATAAAAATGTATATGCAGGTCCACAATTTCAGATCCCAATCCTTTAGACCACATTCGTTTTGGAATCCAGAGTTTTTCAGATTTTTAGAAAGGTAACATGATGCATACACCACATATTGTGTAAATACCCCAGTGGGGCCTGGGGTTACACCATTATTCCATTATATTAACATTTCTGCAGCAAAATGTAAGATTATTCACTCTAGGATAAACAAGAAGAATACATTCATGGTTCTGTCATTACCTTTCACCCTCCTCCTGGGAATTCCTTTGTCTTTCTCCTGTCTTATTTTGCTTGCTGCATTCTGTGTATTTCTTTTTCTTGGTTTACTTTCATGTTTTGGTAGAGTCCATTTTCCGGTGGCATCTTCAGAAAAATACATGATAGATACTTATTTTAAGCCCCACAAATCTGAAAATAATCTTAGTTCTCTTTACACTGTGGTTGAGTTGAATATGGAATTCCAGGTTGGAAGTCATTCCTCCGTATTTTGAAATCATTGCTCCATGCCGATGTCCTCTGGCTTCCAATGCTGCTGCTGACATCTCTCATGTGGACTCCCACTCCCTGTTGGTAACTTGTTCACTTTCTGGAACCTTTTAGGTCCTTTTTATCTCCATGTTCATGCTGCTGTGCTTTGGTATGAGAAGGAGTTTTTTTGTTGTTGTTTTCTTTTGTTTTATTGTACTTGGCACTTAGCACACCCTTAAAGTCTGAATGCCTACTAGCTTTAGTTTTAGGAAATTTTCTTATTATTATTTATTTTATCTCATTTATTTGTTTAGTTAGTTAGTTATTTTACTACTTTATTTTTCTTTACTTTCTCTATCCTCTTTCTGAACTATTTAGCTATTGAACCTCCTGGGTTAATCCTTTAATTATCTAACCCTGTCTCTCCTTTTTTCTCTCTTGTGTTTTTGCTCTACTTACTGAGATGATTATACACCTTGTTCTAGCTTGCCTGTTGAATTTTTCATTTCTGCTGTCATATTTTTAATTTGCAAGAGTACTTTTTGTTTTCTGAATATAACTTTTATATTCTGTTCTTGCTTTATGAATATATAGTGTCTCTTATCTCTATGAGAATATTAATCATAGAAGATATTTTTTACTTCCATTTTTTAAAAAATTATTATACTTTTAAGTTCTGAGATACATGTGCAGAATGTGCAGGTTTGTTACATAGCTATACACGTGCCATGGTGGTTTGCTACACTCATCAACCCGTCATCTGTATTAGGTATTTCTCCTAATGCTATCCCTCCCCCAGCCCCCCACCCCGCAACAGCCCTCAGTGGGTTATGTTCCCTCCCTGTGTCCATGTGTTCTCACTGTTCAGTTCCCACCCATAAGTGAGAACATGCAGTGTTTGGTTTTCTGTTCTTGTGATAGTTTGCTCACAATGATGGTTTCTGAGCTTCATCCATGTCCCTGCAAAGGACATGAACTCATCCTTTTTTATGGCTACGTAGTATTCCATGGTGTATATATGCCACATTTTCTTTATCCAGTCTATCATTGATGGGCATTTGGATTGGTTCCAAGTCTTTGCTATTGTGAATAGTGCTGCAATAAACATATGTGTGCATGTGTCTTTATAGTAGATTGATTTATAATCCTTTGGATATATACCCAGTAATGGGATTGCTGGGTCAAATGGTATTTCTGATTCTAGATCCTTGAGGAATCGCCACACTGTCTTCCACAATGGTTGAACTAATGTACACTCCCACCAACAGAGTAAAAGCATTCCTATTTCTCCACATCCTCTCCAGCATCTGTTGTTTCCTTACTTTTTATGATCACCATTCTAACTGGTGTGAGATGGTATCTCATTGTGGTTTTGAGTTGCATTTCTGTAATGACCAATGATGATGAGCTGTTTTTCATATGTTTATTGGCCAT